ACTTGCCAACTGCCACAAGCACTTTCAATATCAGCAAGATATGGAAACGTTTGAGGCAGAGTTTAAACAGCTTTTTCAATCCATCGAAGTTCGATCATTCGCAACAAATCGGTCGTGCATCTGCAAACTCTATCCTATGTCCGTCAAAAAATACACTGATATGACTTGGCTATGTCATAAAGGTCAGTTTATCCTTGCATAAGAAAAGCGTACCGGCATGTTGGAAATACGTCAAGTAATCGAGTCGAGGAACAGCATTGAGTAGTCAAATCTCGGATCTTGTGTCAACGGGCAATCTTGCCGATGTTTATTAAAGGAAATTACTTGCGTTTGATCACCAGGAGGAGTTCATTCGACACAGCAGTGCCTATAGCCGCGCTTATACGCTTATCGCTCTCTCTGTTGATATTTGGGCTGACGTTCGACGCAAAATATTGCATCACGCACTAAAGAAGGATCATGGAGATGTAAGCAAAGTCACGTATCTCGACGTCAACGTCATGTACTAATGTCTTTACATCATCACTTAAGATCCATTGTTCGCATTGCGTTCGCGACATCTTCGCAAGGCGTGAGCGTTTTAGAAAGGAAGATTTTTTGTTTAATGGTGGCTTGATCGAAACGAGAACGCCTTTCACGAGAACACTGCCAACCTGACTCTGGAACAATCTCTGTCTCAGTTTTGAGATCGCTATAATTAGCTGCCACCACACCAATAGCGCATTCGTTTTGGTCGGATTAGTCAATCATCACAAGAGCAATCATTGGTGTAGGTTAATGAACCTCTACCAGTACGGCAGGGTCGTGGTCGTTCAGTAGGCGCTCGAGAGCGTCGTGGCAAAGGCAATGCCTCTACTCGCCGCGATCTCAGTGCACTATAGCATGTTTTGTTGCAAAATAAAGCTATCCAGAACACAGATGCTGTCTCAGGTGTGCAAGAACGCGGTCGTGGTCAAGTTAATGGCCAACTTACATTTTTGAATCCTCGGCCATTAAAAGAAACGCCTCCATATCAAAACCAGGTGCACAACAAGGTTGACTACGTCTTATAATTTCAAATGCTGCGTCTGGCTTTGAACACGGTAAAGGCCAGCGAAACAACAAGTTCAGTATCCATAATGGAGTCGCTCGAATACTTGCCAAAGCTAATTACATTCGACCTTGTTGACCTAGCCTAGCTTACAGGACCATTTGTTTTTTAGCTTCGGTAGACGTGACCAGGCTTGTGACGACTGTAATATCATCCATATTTCCCCCGATACATTTATATCCTGCATGCTACTCCGCCATCGCAAATTGTGTCTTCCCCTTGGTGTATTCGCAGACTTGTGCTCCGTATGGGTATACAAGACGCGACCCCCTCAATGATTTGCTAGTCACATCGCACGTGGATGGCAGTACCGTATCCAGAAGACTTGCAATCTGCTCTAAATGTAGAGATTCAAAGCTACAACAACACAAATACACTGTCAAACACACCAGCCGACGGTTATAACACTGATCAAACCACACGTACATTCCTTCCGTGCCTAGCACAATCACGACACCTTCCTGCGTCTCTAGCTTTCACACTTCGCCCATCTCACGCTTTTTCGCCATGCTACATACAAACGAATGTCATATGTACTGTAGAGGAGCTACACAGCCCAGGTCAGATGAAGACTTAACGCTTTACGATCAACTTTAGTTCAAAGAGCCCGACTAACTGTCAACAAGCTCAGAAAGCTTACGGTCCCTATTTCAGGGGACCAAACAATTCAAAGAATCACAGCACAGAGTGCTCTAAGAGTACCTGCCTTACCAAGGCGTATGCTAGACTCTTGCTGATTGCAAGACGTCTTAGAAAGTCACGTGTCTTCCGCAGATCAAAAAGGAACTGAACTTCATTTGTTCTTTTATCGAAAGAACACCTAAGAAGAACGTTCTTAATCGATACACCAATGATCTAATTAGTACCCTCCTAAAAGATCACGTCATTCGGTGTCTGACACAAGTCAGACCCCAATAACTGATACGATGTTCTAATATCATTTTAATGGGATTCCGTCCCTCGTGTAAACCACACACATTGTGTATCCCCATTACATGTACCATTTCTACACGTTCCACATCATCAGGGGCAATGACTACACATTGTTTTTCAGTCATCAACACAACCGTAATAATGTACTCCATTTAAAGTAATGACACTGGTGCAGCGTCTCGTGAGTACAATCTGCCGCTTCGACCCGCCCGGCGCTTCCTCGTCCGGATGCAGCCGACAGAGCAAAAAACCCGATTCACCCGCATTGATCGCTCGGAGCAACACGTCTACATAATTAACCATAACAAAATAATTATACTGACATTCACGTCATCAATACCGCAACAAGCAAACACCTCACCGTCCAGCTGTACATTACACACAGGTGAGCTGTCCAAACAATGTTGTATCATACAAAAATCATCTCAGATCCAGAATATCCACATCCAATCCAATAACCATAAACCTGTGCATTGTGAAGCGCGTATTGTCTACTGATTTGCAGCAGCCTGAATATCGTATTACTTACCAAGCCTCCATTTTCTGGTCTGGCACAACGCCAGCTTCAATGCATGCGAGAAAGGTCTCCCCAGTCATGGTCGATATCGCTGTGATGTTTAAATTAGAAAGCGATACCTTTGTTTCGTTTGCATTTACGCTATAAACGTTATGGCAAATGATTTCTTTGGACTGTTTGACGGAGTGTGCATATGTCTCCACTCATCGACAGTTAATTTTGCAGCACCAGTAAGAGGTATGCTCAATACGTGATCCAAAAATTGGAATTATCTTTAAATAGGGGAAATGGTAGTATTAGGGGTACTTATAGGCAGGTGCACCGGATTATGAGAGCGGATTTCATGCGCAAGGCTTTGTGTGCTGACACAAAAGAGGCCTGTGTTAGGGAGGGGTGTGTACGTAGAAAAGAATATTTGTACGGCATTTGGATGTAAAAGTGCTCAGTACCTAGTTAGGGAGGTTGCGGTACTTAAGGAGGGGTCTCCGTTTCAGGTGTGTGTACGTATCAAAAAGTGGGTGTGTACCGATAAATATCCTAGAACAATACGATAAGGTCGGGTTCCCCAGTGGATTCGACAATGGAATGGGAAATGAAATACTCGATAATTACACAAAAACATATTAAATTTAGGGGATTGCTAAATTCACATACCTTTTCCTTAGATTCACGCCCTTCCTTCAAAATCTTATATATACAAGGTACGCAATCGCCGTTGGACAAAGACGAGTACTTTCTCTGCCACTTGGCTACGGGCGACATCTTGTTTACCTTCAGATTACCCCTTTTTTGGAGAAATTTCCCTTAAAGGATCGGGCAATCAATTCGGCGTGAGCTGGTCTGGCGTTGGCGCTTTTTTCCAACCTTTGGTACGATTACGGCACCTCGATCAGATTTAAGGTAGACACGCTTTCCTGCAATCGAACTTTTAATCGTAACAGCATAGCTTTGGCCACGTGTGAACGTCTGCACAGTATCCATAAGTTGCTCCCGACTGGCATACTCAACCTCGGAAGGAGGAAGCATGTTATTGCTTGGTGCCCTCTCAGTAAACGCTGGAGGAGCTAGACCACAGGCGTGAGTAGTATCTGATGTATTTCTTACGTATTACTTGCCGATTGATGGCCTAAATTATTGAGTAATACCTTTGTCAGAAATCAAATCTTAAAATGAATAGGGATTTTATATATAAGATTTTGAAGGAAGGGTGTGAATTTAAGGAAAGAAGGTGTGAATTTAGCAATCCCCTAAATTTATAACGAATCTGAACATATAAACACGTACACTACATCAGTACATAATATGTTTGGCAACGATATACACGGAATGACAAATATTCTGTGAGTACACACTCGCCTAAATCACACTAAACTTTGTAAATTTGTCGCTTAGTCGTACACATTTGCTACATGGAAGCTGGACCATTCGCGGTGGTCTTGTGATTGACATTTGTTGTGAATGCAGCATAACTACTGACAACATGTAATGGTACAGAATTTGAGCAAGCCACGATGTGAGAGAGAAATGTAATGAAGATACCCTTGAGTCGTCACTCCATCAGACTGCACCATGTCCATCTCCTGTTGCTCCAACAAGGCTTGGCCAGTATCTCACACATGCCCTTCTTCCGCTGCCTCTTACTGACCACAACTGACCATTCGTAGTTGTGTGCATTCGACACCAGCGATGAAAAATGTCGACGACAAACCGCACACCAGCAGCTTCTTCAATGACATGTGTTGCGCTGATCGAAGCGATGTCATTCTTGTAGTAATTGCACTCAACGAAACAGCAACCGTCTGCTTCGTGTGGCGTCAAGTGATGATAAGCGGCGTTGTAAAGCAGTGTGCACATGACATAACCTCTTCTTCGTTGTGTGCAATCTGTATTTTTGCATCCGTCCGGCATTTCATCAATGTTTGCTTTGCACTCCTTTCATCTAGTTGAGTCGTCCAAGTTGTCCAAGTCTCTCAAGTCGTCCAAGTCGTCTCGCAGACACGCAAACGCGAAACAAGTTACCGTAAATGTTGTAGTCAGAGAAACGGCCACTACCTCCGCTATTAATTGACTTCCTGTGATGATCAAAATGAAGCTGACGAACGCCGGTATTTTTGTCATCTGAGAGATCGAGGCTTCAAGAACTCGAAAGGCTCGACAAACGTCGATCTTGCGTCTGTAGTCAGCATTCCTTTTGTCTCGAGTGCGTGAGACGTGCCATGTGTAATTGGTTTCAATCGACACCACAAGCCGACTGGATGTGGACTAAGCCGCTGGAATGAGACCAGCTCGGACAACGCAGAAACACCCTATATGTAGTCCAACGCCACACGGGCTTTGACACTAGAGCACAGCAAAGAGAGAAACACGAGCAGCAGCAACAAAAATTCGGCCAAATGCACGCACCCCAAGCTGCGTGTCGTATAATTATACTGCTCGTTGCATTAGGCCACGAGTCGCAGCCTACTTTGCTACGTCGGGACCCGTCACGAACGAATGCAGCGCAAACAGCACAAAGAGGACGCCACCGACGAGTGTCACGGTCCGTTCCGAGATGCGCTTGGCCAGGAACTTGCCGCCCACGACAGCAATGCCCGTGCACATCGAGTGGCCGAGGATCGCGCCAAGCGTCACGCCAAACGCGTCCTTGGTCGCAGACAGTGTCACCGTCGCAATTTGTGAACGGTCGCCCCATTCCGCCAAGAACGTCATAAGGAACGTCTGCGAAAACACCTGAATCATGCCGTCTGTCGAACCTTCCGGCTTGACCACGCCTTCCTCGACTTGTCTGATCACACAAACAGAAACAGATCAACAATGTCGACAATACCGCCCATCAGCTTTTACGACCGCCCACACCCGACAACAGCTGGAGACGAGAAAGAAAAAGAACGAGATCCGTACTCGGCCGATAGCCCATTCTCGGTCTTCTTGCCCATGAGTTCTTCCTCCACCTCAATCAACTCATCCGACGGACCCCTACAAGTCATCCCATCCACACCACAAAACAACACTATCAGACACACTGCATCAAGCACCCCCACCCCCACCCACGTCCGCCACATGTAACCCATCCACCTACACTGCATTCATCTCCCTCGCATCGTACAGCATCTTCACCCCAAACAAGACAAACTACAAGTACAAAAACACAACACACACACACATCACGCAGTCAGCCTCCTTCCTCCTCTCCCTCTCTCTCTCCGCAGCAGCAGCTCCTTGTGCGCCCTCACCAGCACTGCTCCGAGGTAGTGCGTCACGCTCGGGGGCAAGAACTTGGTCGCGACAACGCCCATGACCACCGACAGCACCGTCATGACAATGAGCGCGCCAATCGCACCGGCAAACACGACCACGCGGTCCTTCTTCATGCTTAGAATCGCTGCAATAAAAAACGTCTTGTCCCCAATCTCCGTGGCCCAAATGGTCAACAGACCGCTCATAAAGCCCGACCAGAACAGCGGCGCGCCCGCCGTGCGGAGCTTGGGCCGCGCGTGTGCGAGCACGTGCTGCCAGCCACCAGCAGTGCCCTCGCCCGCGCCGGCGTCGTGCGTGTCCGCGTCCGTTTCGTCCATTTTGTCGTCGCCTTCGTCCATCTCGTCGTCGCCTTTGGCGTCGATTTTGTCCTTTTTGACCTTTTTGACAATTAAGGCACTTGTGGGCACGTTGTGGTCGAGTCGGTTAGAAATGGGCCCGCCAGGTAGAAATGGCTCGACCGCGTGCTGGAGCGCCGTCGAAAAGGCAGAGAATTCCGTGGGGTCCACTACGCCATTGTGGTCCGTGTCGGCGCGTTCGAACACAGCCGAGTGGACAACGGGAGGAAGGAAAGGCGCGGGCGTGGCGAAGATAGTGGCGTCGGACGCGGCGTCCTCTGACGACGCGTGGGCTGCGAGGAGCGACAGCGACGCGAGCACATGGACGACACGACGCGCCATGATGGGGTGGAGGAGACGGGAGGGTTTATCTGGATATATTGGTCGACCGGAAGTACTGGTGCTAGATTGGGGATGCAGGTAGAGGTGGATAATCGATGAGTGGATATTATTTGTTCGCAAGCACCCTCGCGGTAAAGAAGAGTAATCACTTTTGCAATGATTGCTGCTCGCCTACCTGGTTGACCTATAGCAAGATGCTTTTCTCGCAATCTCGATTTATTTGCGCTCGTGATAGTTGTGTGGCATCGATGAGATTTTTGAGCTGCCTGGCGGTGGGCACATAATCTCGATCTTTTGCTAGGACATGATAATAGCCTTCGCTGGTGTGCTTGTTGCAATAAGTTTAGTTATCATAAACTTGACCGGAAGTATTTGATGATTATCAGAAAAACGAGCTGTCACATGTTTTTTCGCGCTGCGGTACACTTACCGTCTTACAATGCACACGACAAGAACCTCTTCTGGGTTAAGAAGGTGCTAGAATGCCTCATTGATCGATAGATCGCTATGGTGAAACGTTTCGTATGCGACCACTTCACGGTGAAGCTGACGACGAGACAATGCCGAAGCAGAGATACGGTCAAAGTCGACGCTACGTTATGGAGGCTCAGCCACGTAACTTTGTAGACACTCATTCTTCGGTCGAGTGTTCGTTCCATTCTCTGAATATCACCTACTTTTCGTAGCTGATACAAATGCAGGCCTGTGGACATAGTTGCGCGTAAGATATCCTTTAATATGCGATGACAAGGCCGAGTTGGTCGACAACGTGAAGGTAAAATTGCTGACAAGGCAACGTTCGCAACGTCGTTTTGGATTAGCCACACCAATCCTTTCATGTATAGGGACCGAAAGAGTGTAATCAAAGCAGCAGATTATCAGTATTACTTTCTCATAAAATTGCATTTGTGCGTACGTGTAATGAAGCCAGTCTGATGTTGTATGCCGACATTGCGAACACCAAAGCTTGAATGAGATCTTATAACATAGACTATCGTTCTTGACCATGGCATACTATTCGTAAATCAGCCTTGTTTCCACGTTATCCGCTCAGTTCACAGCAAGTTGTTGCAAAGATGACTGTTAAAATTTCTGGCGTTGGCAGAGAAAGCATGGAGGGGACAGACTGCCACAATATTTGTAGGCGATATGTCTCCTGGATATAGCTGTTGCAATATATAGAGCCTTGTAGAAAGCACGTGTGCATTGGAGACGATTATACAGCGTCATATCTATGTCATCAAGTGAACATACATCATTTCGTCGCACTTCGCTCATCGCGTATCAAAAGCTTCTACTGAATACCGTGTAAGCGATACAAGCTGCTGGAAGTAAGACACGCCGTAAATATGAGAGCTGAGGAGGCCTGCCCGCATATGCTATTGTGACTAATACGTTCTATACTTGACAACAGCTGCATCGTCGCGGTGTCGATCGTTTTTGAACGATGTATGACAATCCCTTCAGACTGACCACGGTTTCAATATTACCTCTTCTTCCATGCTGCTTGTATTGTAGATATTTGAAGTAATAACGTGCTTGCCTTCTTAAATATATACTGTGCCCCCGTTCGCTTTGCGCCTTTATACACCTCTTGTACGTTGCACCACCATGGATGATCAGAATCCATGCCTCTCGCCTTTTCTCTCTCAAATGCATGGTTTCTATGCACAGAGGACGAGGGACGTTACCTAAATGATTCGGTCTTACTGCCCTTAGCCCACCAACAGATCCAGATGTACTCGTTGTCAATCGTATACTGTATCATTGCCCAGATACCATTTCCAATGCCTACAGGCATTGAACGATTCCGATTGTCTTAGCATTGTCTGGCACAAGTACCTTTACTTACGGCCAACGCGCATCATTGTTTGCTTATTCGAGAAAAGATACACATGCGCAAAATGACGACAACACTTCTAGCATCAATCCCATCCTTTCATCTACTACGTTTTGTCCTAAATACTAGCTCTATCCGCTATATCTGCCGCCTAAGTAGCTGTAGACACGTAGGGGTTTTACGCATCGGACTCAGGTAGTTGCTTTTCAACTCAAGCCTCAAGCCTAATCCTAATTGGCGACGAATAGGATGAGGCTTGAGTTGAAAGGCAACTGCTGGTGCATCATCCTCCTCGATAGGCTGCTTCGAAAGGTGGTAGTACAGTGAACGTGAATCGCACTTAAAGCCCGCAGTTGTTTTGTGACGATTGACTTTACGCTGAAGACTTTCACTGCGCGTACAGATGAACTGGGTTGACAAAAGGCTCTTTGTTCTAATGTTTCCTAGTATACGACGGTCTGGACACAAAACGTATCGGACAGTCTACCATGTCCTGTACTGTTCTATCGATCCATGCGAGTATACGCTGTACTTTACCGAAAAACAGAGCACTAATCTATTTCGTAACATGCCTGACAAATAATAGTCTAGCCAGACACGGATCGTAGTTGCATGACACCGTAAAAAGCTTGTTTTGCACGTTCAAGTTTATGCTTCGTATGTATGCTCTCGAAAGTGCTCGTGGCGAATACTTTCGATAGCATGCTTCAAAAAAGTCGGCCGTCATTGCCTCAACGTCGAAACAGTACAGTGAGATATACCGATAAGAAAACGTGCAGAAAAACACGGCACGCTTCCACGAACGCGTTTGCATGAGGCGTCTCGGAAGAAAGTTTTGACCCGTGTTGTTACGCAAGGTGTAGTCCTTATGCTCGTCGTACAGCGTCTTAGGATCTCATCCTGTGTCACCTTCTATGAACTCCAACTTCGCTACTGTGGGCGAAGCAATTGTTCGAAATCGGCGGACGACATCGGGTAGCAGCCGTGTTGCGTGTTGCGAGCTGATGTTGGCAGTTACAAGTGGTACGATCGACTCAGGTGCCAAGCAGTCGGGACATTTGCTAGTACGAGTTTGCGTCCGATAGATCTTCTTCAACTTAAGTGGTGACTTCTCATGACTGTTCGACAATTCTTTACACCTTCGAGAGCACAATAGACACACATGTCAAGTCATCATGGCATGTTCTTCTCGATCATGTGCATATCCGGTATCAGCCCTTGCTTTAGCGCATTGCTGCGAAACTCATGTCTATGAACAGACAGCAGCCATTTCCATACTTCGAATACCGCTGACTGAGTCGCTACTTTGAATTATTGCTGCAACTGGTGGTAGTAGTGCTGCTACTGCTGCTGACGGCGCTACGTTGTGGTACGAAAGGTGCAAGAATTTCGCAGCCTTGGAGCGTCGAGCACTTGCGCCAAGAAGCTGTCCCCTATCAAACGCTTTTTACGTCGATGACATGTGGGCCTGTGCGTGACTATTGGATCGACTGACGACATACGCCGAGAAGACCCTCGGCTACTACCTTACACAGACTTGCTAAGAAGTGGCTCTGCCGTACAGTTTGCAACGATGCAAAATACGGGCACAGCGCTATTGTGATGATGGCAGCACCATTTAACGGGTTCTGCCCTATGATATACCCTGTCCGAAAATAATACCCTATCCATATTTTGAGGTACACAAACAGTATTATACCGTGCCCATTAGTGTACCATAAATTGTTATGGTAAAAAAATCGTTTTTAACCAATTATTGCCTTAGATAAATGATTGGTAGCGGTTACTCAGAAAAGCCCGTTCACCCTCCATACGTTTGAATCACTAGATATAAACTCTCTTCTCATTAAAGACCTTCATCCTCTAGTGCACACCATGGCACCCAGGCGCGTTTCCAAGACCAACCTCGAGAAGCGGGAAGTGATCGAGTGGATCGAAGGTCCTGGTGGTGGGGTTCCTACGCGCGCATTAAAGCACTTTCAAGCGGATCCAGGGTGGCAAATGTCGGAAGTCCAGATTCGCTACTGGTGGAAGAACCGCGAAGCCATCACGAACTCCCCGGCGCTGCAGCTGCGTGTGACAGGTGGCGTTAGATACCCACGGCTTGGCGAGGTAAAAGGGGTCCTGTTTGATCAGATCGTTTTTCTAAGATCGAAGAAGGAAAAGGTGTCGCGTCAGTGGATTCAAGTATCCGCACGTATCCGCACGCGAGCTCGCTAAATATGAGCTGGACGACTATGGCTGCTAAAAGGTAGCGGAGCGTCGAAGTGAAGAACACTTGTTGGTCGAAGCAGCAAAACCAAAAGTGTATGATTCTGTGAGTGTAACTCGTTCCTACCGTTGCTACTTATATATCTGAATCACTTCTTCATTCCAACTGCCCCACTAATCCTGGCGTTCCTTTCCCATGTTCCTTTCCCATATAACGGTTTCTCTGATGTGGATATCCTTTCCACTGAGCACAAAAATGGGGGACGTCACTGTCTGGCAGGACAGTGCTGGTGAACCCCAAACACCAGGACCCTAAGGTTTAACTTTCACTGCCGGGTATCGAACCGGTGACCTCTGGAATATGGCTGCCACACATTTCCACTCGAGCTACAGCATGCTTACGAAATGCACGTACTGGTATCCTATTGTAATCGTACTAAGTGAAGCATATTATAGACATGCTTCATCATATGCATGTCCATAACATATTCTTCGCATCACCTAATCCTAACAATGGCTTCTGCGCATCGGACAAGTGGCTCGCTCGCTTCATGACTCGCTATGGCCTCTCTCTTCAACGGACGACCAATCTCACCATTTAAAGTGACGACGAGCTCACTGCGCGTGCCGTGCGATTTCTTAATTACCTCTCATCAAAGAAGAGCGAGCTCAACCCCAGCGGCACGCTTCTAATGGATGAGACGGCAGTATTCTTTGAAGACCCGCGGCGCGACACTGTGGACTTTACCGGCGCACGTCATGTCGTGTTGCGGTCGACAGGGTTTGCTTTGATGAAGATCACTGTTGCGCTTACCGTCACAGCAACGGAAACTAAGCTGTCACCTCTTTTGATCTGGATAGGCGCTAAAAAACCGATCCAGAATAGCTGCGCGGTTTACGTTGCGTATCAAAAGCTGGTCTGGATGAACAGCGAGCTTCTCGTTAAGTG